ATTAAACAAGAAAGCTTACTTCTTTATTTTTCATTGATTCTATTCAGGTTGGAACAGTTGGAGGGGGTACCCAACTGGCATCACAAGCAGCATGTTTGAACTTATTAGGTGTCAAAGGTGCCAGTAAAGATGAACCAGGGTCAAACGCAAGGGTGTTGGCCACCATAGTAGCTGGCTCAGTTCTTGCAGGTGAGCTCTCTCTCATGTCAGCGATTGCAGCAGGTCAACTTGTGAAGAGTCATATGAAATACAACAGATCTACCAGAGATATGTCCAAGTTAGCCTCCTCTTAGATGTCTCATATATATAGCCACTTGGTTGTCTTGTGATCCCTTTGTATGCATTAGGGTCGACACAACAAGTGGACCCTAGTGAACACTGGTTCACTATAAATAGAATATCTAAAACAAAAAAAGAATAAATGTGGCTAAGGGTAGATAATGGATGGGTTATAAGGAGAGGTGAATGATGAGGACAAAGAAGAAAATGAAAGGGAAATGAAGTAGTGGTGTAAGTGTTGTGTATTCTTTTAATTGAAGATTCCCATGTGAGTTTGGATCTGTTTCCCAAGTGTATAAAGGTGTGTATGTGTAGTGGTGGTGGTGGGGAGAATCAATAGGAAACACAGAAATCTAGGGCTGTGGTGTGGTATTGTTTTTTTCATGTCTTGTTTTTTACGTTGTTGCTGGTCATTAGGGTTTGCATGTGCAAATGCTTCTATTTTATTTGTATCAATCTTGTCTGTATCTGTGTTTATTTTTCAACTCTTTTGTTTGTTTAATACTCTGAACTTGTGAATCGATCTACACTTAAAATAGTTACTAGGAAAAAAGTTTAAATATGTTGGAATTTATGTTTTTTTTTATCTATCTTGTTTTGGAAAAAAGATAATAAAGCAAATGATCTGTTTCACATTCAATCTTGTTCTTTTTACAACTACAACTATGTATGTGTGACATTATTTTCTATTTTTATGTATGTACTCTAGATAACAAAAAATGGACTTGTATAAGTCCCGATTGAACTCGATAAGGACTATAGTAGAATGACTCAAAGTCCATGTCAGCTCCACCGAGAGTAGGTCCAAATTCAGTTGAGGGTGATGGTGAAGGAGGTGGATTGGTAACAACAATGTCGGTTCCTGAGGTAAGTGCCCCCGTATCACATACGTTGACACGAACCAAAGGTTCGGTTGTGGTGGTGGTTGTTGAAGCTGCTTGAGTAATGATACCACGATCTTCTGAAACGACACCTGAAAAAACGTTATTTGACAGTTGTGTTTCCCTATGTAGACGTCATTAGGCGTGATGGTAGTTACCGTTTCAAATTCACGCGCCCAATTCAATTCTTATCCGCTGAGTCGGTTTGAATTCTCATCTAGTTACCGCCTCTGCAACTCTGAAAACTGTTCAAATTCTTTAACAAACTGTGACCCAGCAATTCGCTTTAATTATGGTTCATAGCATTCGGTCTTTAAGAAAATACACCATGATAGCATATGTAACCAAACCAGCAAATTTGAAAATAGCCATTAGTACCACGAACTAGACTTGTGAGAATCACGGGGATTCTCGTGCAAGAGGGTGACAATAAAAAGAAATAAAGAAAAGTATTTGTGGGATTTAAGTGATGTCTGTGTGGTTTCCCGATGAAGTAAGATCAAAAGTTTGTTAAGAAACATTTGAAAGGCATTTCAAAATAAGGCTTTAATGGGTAGGTTTTCTTCAACCGAACTTCAGTACTTAATATAAGACTGAAAGTTAGATGAAGTACTTGTGAGACCAGTGTAGCCTATCAAACAAGTAGGTATGAGAGGATATTTAGTAAGTTGATGAGATATATTTGGAAATCCAAAAAAAAAAATTAATCTGGATCTTTAGGAAGAAACGTCTTAGTATTAGACAATTTCACCAAGACCACGCAGAAATAAAAAGGATTTCACGGTACAGACAAACAAAGTGGCTTCGTTAATTCATGGGTGAAATGCTAGAGCTTTTGATTGTTCACTGTCAATTCATTTATGGTGTTGGATTGCGGGCCTCACTTAGCACGTGGTAAAATGAAACTAAGATCATCGACACAAACGTTGTATAACCATAAACCTCAGTGATTGATGCTAAGAGTCTCAAGGGTTACGATTATAGGTGGTTAAATGAGATGGAGAAATGAGTATAGGTGGTTAAAGAGCCAAAAGTACCTCTGGTGAAAATTTTGGACAAAGTAGATAATTCTTAACTCAAAGTGAGAAGAGTACAGTAGCTCATAACTTGAGTGATTTTGACAGCCTACTTGGGAAGAACCAATGGGTATAAATCAGATCATTAAGGCTTCACTCAGAGTTAAGGAGGCTTTGGTCTACATGCAGCAACATACTTCTAGAGACACCTAACTAGTACTAAGATAAAGAGATATATACCTTCCTTAGCTCAATCGTGAAAATACCTATGTGATAAACAATTAAAACAACAAATATATATATATATATATATATATATATATATATATATATATATATATATATATATTGATTTTTGTAATTTTTATAAAAAAGAATAATAAAAACAAAAAAGAAACTATTTTTGAAATTTCTAGAGTTGTAAAAAGAAATATTTTTGTAATTTTGGAGTTTAACTTAAGATAAAAGGAAGCGAAAGCGAAAAGATATACATAATATACAAAAGATATGTGAGTTCCAAACCATAAAGGAAAACAATCGCTCGCATTTGAAAAATTGGAAGATGCGAAATAGACCAATCATTCGGTTCCCAAAAAATTAGGAGCCGAAATAGACTGAGCGTTCAGTTGATTTTGGTTGTTAGAAAAATTTTATAAAAGTGAAAGCGAAAGTTACACTAAATGAAATGAATATGGTTTTGGAACAGACTCAGCTTCCATCATTTCTAAGCCTTGCAGTATTTTATTGAATGATGCTTCAGGTAAGGCCTTAGTGAAGATGTCAGCTAATTGATCAGAGGAACGCACGAAGTGAATCTCAACATTCACATCTTCTACATGATCCTTGATAAAGTGATATCTCAGTACTATGTATTTAGTCTTGGAATGTTGCACTGGATTATGACAGATCCTGATTGCGCTTTCAGAGTTGCAATAGAGAGGAATTTTCTTCATTCTTAGGCCATAATCTCTTAATTGGCTTTGAATCCAGATGACCTGTGAAGTGCACGATGCAGCCGCAATATACTCAGCTTCGACTGTTGAGAGTGAAATGCAAGTTTGTTTCTTGGACTGCCAACTGATAATTTTGCCATCTAAGAATTGACATCCGCCTGTGGTGCTCTTTCGGTCCAAACCACATCCTCCAATATCAGCATCAGAGAATGCTTGAACGAAAAATCCTGACTTAGCAAGGATACCATAGACCGAGAGATGAGGTTCGCTTCAAATATCTAAAGATGTTCTTACAGCCACCATATGAGGTTCGCATGGATTAGCTTGGAACCTAGCACAGTAACAAATAGAAAACATAATATCAGGTCTACTAGCTATTAGATACATTAGAGATCCTATCATTTGACGATAGAGAGTCATATCTACAACCGATTTTTCCAATGATGGTGTCAACTTCGTTCCAAATGCCATAGGAACCTTTACTTTGGAATCTCCCATTATACCAAACTTAGTCAGTAGGGTCTTCGTATAAGCCTCCTCATTAATAAATATGCCTCCGATTCCATGTCAAATATTCAAGCCAAGGAAAAAGTTAATCGGACCCATTGAGCTCATTTCAAATTTAGTCTCCATCAACTTCCTGAATTCAACTGTTAGGCTGGGATTCCTGAAACCGAAGATGATGCCATCGACATAAATTTAGACGATCATTAAGTGGTTATCCTGTTTCTTACGAAAGAATGTTGGGTCAACCGAACCTTGTTTAAATTTGGACATTTTCAGAAATCATGTAAGAGTTTCATACCAAGCTCTAGGGGCTTGTTTTAGACCATAGACAGGTTTATTGAGAATATAATAATGGTCAGGATACCTTTCGTTCACAAAAGCTGGTGGTTGCTCAACATATACAGTTTCCTCTAGTTCCCCATTCAGGAAGGCACACTTAACGTCCATTTGAAACACTTCAAAGTTTTTGTGTGCAGCGTATGCCAGAAATATTCTCATTGATTCTAACCTTGCTACAAGAGCGAAAGTCTCTTCATAATTAATTCCTTTTTCCTGACAATAACCCTTCACAACCAGCCTCACTTTATTATGAATCACATTCCCTTCTTTGTCCATTTTCTTTCTAAGAACCCATTTCAATCCAACTACACATGCATCCTTTGGTGTGGGAATTAATCTCCAGACTCAGTTTCGTTTAACTCATGTAGTTCATCTTGCATTGCTTGTACCCAATCAGAGTGATCAAGAGCAATGTTAACCGTTTTTTGTTCTATTTTGGAGAAAAAGGAATTGAACATGCAAAATTCTATTTGAGAAAACAGAGAAGTTTGCTTTGTTTTTATTTGGGACTGAGTGAGAACTCCCTCAAATGATTCACCGATGACTTGAGTTTTTAGATGGTCTCTTGCCCATTTTTGAGAGGAGGATAGTTTGGATCATAGTTTGGATCCAATTCTACAGTGATTTTCTCTTCAAGTTCTGATTGAGAATCTGAATCATCATTCGAATTGTTATTCTCCCCCTCGAATGATGAATTTGGGTTCTCTGATGTGGATGATCCCTCCCCTTGGAATATTGAACTTTCTTTCAGAGGTTCGCTTGGACCTGGCTGTTCGGTTGGTTCTTGATGTTCGCTTTCCAAATCTTTAGCTTCTTCAACAATAATTTTCCTTAAGTTGGCAATCTTATTGTCAGCTGTTTTTGCCTCAGAATGGACTGCTCTCTCTAGTTCATCAAAGAGATCTATGTACTCTTCGAATGATTGAAGTTTCTTGACGTAATTTTCATCGAAGGTGACATAGTAGGTTTCCTCTATCTTCTTTGAACGTTTGTTTAAAACCCTATATGCCTTTGAGTTTAAAGAGTGCCCAAGAAAAATCCCTTCATTAGCTTTTACATTGAACTTGTTGTGGTTCTCTTTGGAAATGAAAATGAAGCACCTTGAATCGAAAACATGAATGAACTTGACTTTTGGCTTGCGATTGTTCAGAATCTCGTATGGAGTTATGGAGAATCGCTTGTTAAGAAAATATTTGTTCTGGGTATAGCAAGCAGCAACGATGGCATCAGCCCAGAAATACAAGGGTAAGGAAGCGAAGCTGAGCATGGTTCGGGTTGCTTCACATATAGAGCAGTTTCTCCTTTCAACTATGTCATT